CACCCACACCCATTTTCTAGCCAACCCGAATCTCGAGGGCGAGATTCATCTTAAGGGGGGTAGGTTTGTAACATCCCAAATTTTCAATTTGGAATGTTATACATAGATTATTCATGCATATCATATTTTACTGCATTTTTGCTTTGCGATCCTCGGAATTCTAAGCAACTCAAGGACCCACGGAGAGAGTTGTGGATTTCATGTTTTTCATATTTGAGTTTTATCAAATATCGAAACAAGGGTCACTTTGGGTTTATTTTTTTCTCCAAAAACTATTTCATATTAAAATATATGAGAGGAGATAATATGACTTCTCCAAAATAAAGGGAATATTGGAGTAAAAATATTAAAATCCAATAAATATTTCTTTTGGACTTTTGTTGCTATTTTATTTGCATTAGAGGCCCAAATAAATGTTTACTTTGTCCGGAATATTATTAGAGGACCGTGAAAAATTTATTTCAGGATTTTTGGACTCCGTTTAGTATTTCTTTTGTTTGTTTTTCTGCGTCAGGATATATTTAAAAAAATGCATCGACCTAACCGGGCCGTGCCCGAGCCGACATCCTCCGGCCGAGGCTTTATAAGCCGCTAGCCCGCGACCCCGAGGCCCAAGCCGCCGCCTCGCGCCCTAACCCTAGCGTCGCGCTCCGCCGCCGCCATCCGGTTTTTCTTAGGAAAAACCGTCGGGTTTTTTCGAAACCCTAGATCTAGATTTTTTTTTATTTAGATCGGTTTTGTTCGGTTTTCCTTCGGTTTAGTTAAATAGCGGACATTTGTCCGTACGTTCGTTTTAACAAACACTGTTCGTCAGTTAACCACAGACAGCGAACGTTCGTTCGTTAGCCTGTTCGTCTCGTTTTATTTTCCAGGGTTTTTCCGCGATTATTTTCGATCCTGATTTCTGCCCTGATCTTCGTTTTAGTTTATCTTTTTGCTCGGTTATCCAAATCGGGTGATACAAGTGCCTAGATCTTCGTCTCGAAGCTCTCTTTCTGTTTAACCAACTTGAACAAGATTTTGGTACTGTAAAATTTGTCTTTAGTCCAGATTAGCAAACAGATCTTGTTTCTTTCGTAGTTTGAGTTTCGTTGCTCTGTTTGATTTGATTCTTTTTGCAAATCAAATCTCTTCTGTTGAGCTTTCAGATTCGATATTCTTATTTGAGTTTTACCCGTGCATCTTTGCTTGATTGCTTATGTATGCTATTGTTTATTGCGATAGAATTCTCGAAGTGCGAAGCGTGCTACTACGAGTCTCTAGGACTTGCAGAACGCCAGCAAGGTAAGTAACACATTGATCATACTTTTTTCATACCCAGTTTTTATGCATTAGTTTCCATCCTTATACATTGCATGATTAGGTTGTGATTAACATGTGGGTATTGGGAAGTAGATGATGAGGTAGAACCTATAATTGTTTTATTATCAAACTCTTGGGAGTTACTTCTACCTTATGCTTAAATTGCCATGCTATGCTCGTAGACGTGGATTGGGTTTGAGTGTATTCATGACAGATGTGAGTGTCTAATTTAAGGTTCAACTTAAGGTGGCAACTTTAATACACATCTGGGTGGATTGTTGGTTTGGGCACCTTGGGATATACCAGTGTTGTCTTAGGAGATCCCGGGGTTATACCGTGTGATCCTCCTATGGTCCATCGCCCAGGCTCAAACGGATCGTAAGATTTTTCATACTAGAAACTTCCGTGTGCAGCTACAAGCTATTATGGGCTCTAGCATAGTTGAGTAGGTTGCATGACCTCTTCGAGTGGTAGGCTAGCAGATGTAGAGGATGTAGGTTGGTACTGTCTAACCGGGGTTAGAGTTAATGCTTCTGAAAGACTGTGTCTCAGTCATCCGTTTCTAAAACACCATGTAGTGCGAGAAATCCAACGGAGGAGATCGAGTCTTGTGGGGAAAAATGCGCAAACCTCTACAGAGTGTACAAACTAATCATGATTAGTCGTGTCCCCGGTTATGGACATCTTGAGTATCTGGTTCCTGGATTATCATATGGATCTCATCACTCTAAATTAATCTGTTGGGTTGATAATTATTTTTAATTGGGATTGAGATGGGGGTACCATTCTCAATGTTTCAACTACCATGATAGTTAAATAAAATATATTTCTTTGTAGTAGGGAAAATTGGCTTTTCGCAAAAACATTGTAACCATAGAGCCTCCACCAGCCAAATATGCATATAGTGATATCCATTATCTGTTTATTGCTCTACTGTGTTACATTGCCAGCATATTCCTTGTGCTGGCCCGTTTCGGGCTGCAACATATCATGTTGCAGACTTTTCAGACGAGGAGTAAGGTGCGCTAGGTCATTTGTCGTGCACTCAGCTATGCCCTTGGAGTTGATGGACTCACTTTATCTTCCAAGCCTTCCGCTGTTATCTTATTTAGATGGCCTTAAGCCATATTATTGTAATAAGTTCTTTTTTGAGAAATTCGATGTAATAAGTGTGTTATTGCTACTTTGTTATAAATCCTTCGAGTACTGTGTGTGTCAGCATTACCGATCCAGGGATGACATTGAACACAGAGACTTGACCATCTGAGGTCGGGTCGCTACACACCCGGAGCCGCCTGGGTCGGGCGCGGGGAGGCGACCCGGAACAGCCGACCAGCGGGCGCTCGGCGACCCGGCCGAGCGCGGGAGGTGCGGCGCGCGGGGCGGAGTCGACATGCGGGAGGTTGACCCAGAGTCGCAGCTGGCTGGAGGCGGCTGCGCGAGGCGGAACCGGCGAAAGGACTAGATACTAAGACCAGCAACTAGACACGACGATGCAACCGCAAATTCAACAATGCAAAACCCTAAAAAGATTATGCAAAGGCTCAGATTGGTTCCGATATGATGAACTAACCCTAATTTTTTTGGCTTTTTCGTGGACTGTAGGTATGAAGAACAGACTCGATCTAAACTACGTAAAAACTATAAAATCTCACCGAGCAACCTGAAAATCTGATACCACTTGATAGAGGCGAAGGTGTCCCGATGTTTCGATGAGATGGTGGCTATCGTTTTTTGTGGGAGTTAACCTTGAAGGTCCGACTACGAACATGCGAGACATCGTGCATTAGCAATCGCTAAACCAACTTCCGAAGGGTTATTGACCACGCCAGAGCATGATCAACCTGACCATGAGGGTCTGTTTCCTGTGAGAAAACGAAGAACGAGTAAGAAACTGAGTTTGCAATCTGGATATTGCGAATACAAGAGGAAAGCTTTATTAATGAAGGTGGGGTCCTGTGACGCCTTTGTCTGGTCGTTGAAGACAAATGAAGTACGCGAAGTTGCAACTATGGCGAACTTTTAATCTAAACGAAACCCAAAGTCTAAACGACGCCCTAAGGGCTGTATATATGGAGGAAGAGGGGGGGGGGATTTTGTGGCCCTTGGGGAGGGGTCCGAAACCAACCCTAACTCTTATTTCCCCACACATACGGACTCTAAAAATAGCCTATAATCAAGTATTTCGAAATTACATGGGCCTGGTCCAATAATAAGGTGAAGTAGCACCTAGAATAGCCTCTGGACGACATTTATGAAATGGCATCTTGTATATTTCGTTCAAGGCTTTATGCACTTATTATGATGGCTTCAAAGTCCTACAATCATCACTTGTAACGTCATTCTTGTTTTCCCTGCGCATGCCATCATCTTCATGCTTGAACTTGCTCCAAGATTCATCTTTCTTGTCCAAGCTAGGCCCTTCATTTGTAAACAAAACAAATGTATCCAATTTAGGCAGCATCATATTCTCGTGAACATTACAACCGTTATCAAGAAACGAAAGTACCTAGTAATTCAATTGGCGTGCGCGAGCTCTAGTAATTGGTCCAATATGTATAGCAGTAGGGGCAGTGGGTGTAACAATGGTATTGATGTCCTCATCAACGTGTAGTAGCAGGAGTCCGCCTGTGAGAGACAAACCGGCACCCGCTCAAAGATGTTGAGGTTGCGGATGTCGTTGACGTCAGAAGGGTTGGCGTCGTCGAACGGGTTGGAGTTGGTTGATGCGGAGGAGGTGACAGATGACATGGCGAGAGTGGGACGGCTCGGCGGCTCGGGTGTGACGGCTTTGGGCGAGGCAGGTAGTAGCAAGGCGTGGCAGCGACGGGCGATGCGACATTGCGGGATGGCAGAAGCGAGCTGGCGGCAGCTAGCAAGCGGAATGGGCGACACACGTGCGGGAACGGGCGACGCGGCTTGCGGCTTGCGGGGTTCGACGCGGCTAGTGACGAGCGAAGCGGGCTGGCGGCGGCTAGTGACGCGGGTGGAGCGACACAGACAGGCGGATCGCGCGATGCGGATGGCCGGCGGCCGGCGCGGGGGTGCGCAGACTGTGGCGGAGGGAAGGCGGCGGCGCGAAGAAGGTGCGCGGCGACGGCGGCAGCGAAAGACTATGGGTAAAACCTAAAAACTGATACCATATATAATTACACGATGTATTGCTCTTTATGCATAGACACGTATATATGATGTAAAAAATGGATCAAACCTCAGCTATACAAGAAATTAAGAGACATACCCGATACAAAATATGGACACAATACATATACTCAACAATGTCTACCGGATTAATTCGTTCTTGCTTTGTAGTGCATGCGGAGGTTGAGCTTCGTTGTCATGTACCGGCTATAAACTGCCTGTCCGACAAATTGCCACGATCAAATGATAGGGAGAGTTTCCCAATGTTCGTCGCCG